GCATTAAATGATACGAAAATTTTGTTAATAAAGTGTTTATATCTATTGTAAAACTGCACAAAAAAACATATATTTAATAATAATAGTAATTTTAAAACTCAACTAGATAATAATTATTCGCTCATACGTTTAGTATATAATTTTCATGCAACGAGTTAACTGATCTCTATAGGTATAATGTTTTAAATTTTATTCAATACATACCAATCCCGTTGAAAATCACAACCAATACCTGTGCTCTCTATTTGTACACAGAGGGAGAGTATACTGTATCCCAAAAAGTTTTTAACGCTATTTAACGGTAGTTTTGAATGAATTTCAACAATCAAAGCAACAACAAAAAACTTGCGATACGAGCACCGGGTGAGGGCGGGGTATGAGAACAGGGTGTATGTTAAACAATTAGACAATGATGGTGAAAAAATAAAATAAATTCTGGCGATGACCCGTTTGTATGTGTCTTTCATAGGGTGTACAGCCCTTTATGGTGAATCCAAATGTGTTTTGTTTTCAATATATACAGTATATATTTTACATGTGATCTTATCGTAATATGAGAATTACCTTATTCTTACGGATACTGTAATTACATAATAGCATCCCATTGTGCTGTGTATGTTGTGTATAATAAGTGTGTATTCATGTATACAATGCATAATTTAATGTATGATGTCTTATAGTCACTATTATATAGTGTACTAAACGCATGTCTAAGTCTTACGCATATACGGATAATCGGGGTTAAAGTAGTACACAATATGTAGTAATGAATACGTCTGTTGTTGAATATGATAATAAACATTTCAGATTAAATTATAATCTGTGTAAAAATTTGTTAATATTCAGTACAATATACTTATATATGTGTTGCAATAGTGTAGGGATGGGAAGGTTAGACACATATGTAATTTGCTTTGTATTTGGTTTAAAAATAAATACATAATAGGAATTAAGTGCGGGTTATAATAACGAAGTTCACTGTAAAGAGAAGTTAATACCTGGTAATTATGATAATATTTTAATCATAGGCTATTAAACCGTAGCATCTTTTCGGGGGTACTGTGTATTATGTTGTAATGTTTTTGTGCTAATTATATAATGTTATTATAAGTATTAAACTTGTAATTTAATTGTCATCTCTCTCTCTCTCTCTCTCTCTCTCTCTCTCTCTCTCTCGAGAAAATGCACTGAAATGTTAAGCAAAATAAAAGTTGCACGTTTGGAATACTGGACGACTTTTAGAAGTGACCTCTCTTTGAAAATCAATTGCTCGGACATCATATATGATTATAAAAGTTTTTTGGGATACAGTATACTCTCTCTCTCTCTCTCTCTCTCTCTCTTCATTAACTCTGTGGAGGAACCCTTCTTCAAAAATGTGTCAGGTGAATTTAAAACTTTCAGTAAAAATCAGTCTTAGGTGTCAGTGTAAAAAAATTTCAGGAATGCCTCAATCAAACATTTGAGCAAATAATAGATTGATTAAACTTTTATAATCATATATGATGTCCGAGCAATTGATTTTCAAAGAGAGGTCACTTCTAAAAGTCGTCCAGTATTCCAAACGTGCAACTTTTATTTTGCTTAACATTTCAGTGCATTTTCTCGAGAGAGCAGCGATGAATGCAGTGTATTATAACCCTACATACAAATGCTGCACTGCAATACACCTACTTGTGATAAATCTGGTATTGTGTGGGAATCATGTGTGTATAGTACACCTACTCTGTGCTCAGCCAATACAAAAAATATAGTTAACTTTGCGCAAACGCGAGTATACGTCAATGTACACATCAAAGGCAGTAGTATAGAGTAACGCAGATAAAACACTGGCACCATATCGTGCCAATGCTCCTGCTGCCACCGCTATGTATTGAGATGTGTGTTTCGTGTTCAGTGAATTGTGATGCTTTTATATGTGTTTGAGTGCAATGTGTTTTCTATCCATAATACGCCACTGGTAATAATTACAATACAATCGTTTATGTATAACATTATAAATTTGTTGTACGCCACCAATGACTACAACAGTAGCCATAAAAAGCGTGTTTGAATTACAACAACAGTTGTAGTGTTTGTTATGATTAGTTTGATTATAGTTTATTAATTATATCATTACTATTAGGTAAGAAAAATAATGTAAAACAACCCCCATATTCTTATCTAGGTAAGAAAATGGGGGTGTGTTTTACGCGACTTTTGTAGTAATAATAAATATAAATTACTTTTTAATATTTGTCTAATATATTAAATTTTTTAATAATGTTTAGTAATAATGAGTCGCAAGGTTTTGCTAAATCAACAACAAATTGAAGACCTCTTAGATGAAGAGGAAGCGGATGACATGTCAAGTGATAGTGATTGTGATGTCATGGAAGAATCAGATCATTCAACTGACACTGAACAGAGCGCTAATAGTAATGATAATGAAGAAGACATTCGAGACATATCATCCAATTTCAATTCATCACAATCAAGCCATAGAAGTCATACTATTACTACAGAAAAATGCGGACCAATAATAACTAAATCAATGGCCAATAATAATCATATACTATTCAAAAGATTTATAACGATTGAAATGATTCAATCCATTGTCTCACATACTAATCGTGAAATTATGCTAAGAAGTAGCAAATATACCAAATGGCAAACATATCTTTACGACACAAATGCAGAAGAAATCCTGGCATTAATTGGTTTGCTTCTATTAGCCGGAGTTTATAAATCAGGCAAAGAAAATGCAATTGAATTGTGGTCTACATCTGGGTCAGAAAGAGATATATTTCGAGCCGTAATGCCTTTACCGAGATTTCGTTTCTTGTTGTTGTGCTTACGTTTTGATAATAGAGAATCACGTGATCCGACAGACAAGTTGTCGCCAATACGACAACTATACACACAATTTAATAACAATTGCAAAAGTAATTACATTCTCTCGACAAATATAACAATTGACGAACAATTACGCGCAATTCGTGGAAAGTGCCCCTTCAGACAATATATGCCGAAAAAGCCGGCAAAATACGGTATAAAAATTTTTATGTTGTGTGACGCAGCGACCAGTTATATGTGGACATCAGAAGTATATTTAGGACGCAAACTAAATGCTCCCAAAAACATGAACATTTCGACAGAAATTGTTTTACGATTAATTAATGATTTAAAACATACGGGCCGACACCTCACCGCTGACAATTGGTTCACATCTTTCCCATTGGTTGACGAGTTATTGTTAAATGGGTTTAAATTTGTCGGAACAATCAAAGCAAATAAACGAGAAATACCAAAACACTTTTTAAATTTAAAGAACAGAGAAGTAAAGAATAACAGCCACATAATTCTTATCTAGATAAGAAATATGTGGCTTTAAATTAACTATAATTTATTATTACTTATTTAATCTCATTACAGGTTAATTCGTTTCTCTCACAAGTGAATGATAATAAATTATTGTTATTATATATTCCTAACAAAAAGAAAATTAAAAAAGTCGTTTTATTATTGAGTTCATTACATGAAAGAGTGGATATTAATACAAATGGAAAACCAGAGATCATTGAGTTTTATAACAAAACCAAAGTTGGTGTTGATATTTTGGACCAACTGTGCATGTCGTTTACATGTGGACGGGCGACAAGACGTTGGCCAATGTGTTTGTTTTATGATATGTTGGATATCGCAGGCATTAATAGCTATGTTATATTTAAACATTATTTTCCAAATGAAAATAAATCTAAAAAAAGACGTGAGTTTATAAAACAATTAGGATATGATTTGGTTAAACCGCTAGCAATCCAACGATTATATAAAATTACTTTAACTACTGAATTACGAAAACTTATTGAAAAAGTTATTGACACGGAAAGTCCTTCTGTTACTAACGAACCACAATCGTCGACACAACAAAACAACAAACGATTTATCAATAATACGCGGTGTGACCTTTGCCCACGAGAACTCAATCAAAGAGCCACAATACGATGTGAGGGGTGTGAACGGCTTGTTTGTAAGAAACAACATTTAATAAATTATTGTACAGATTGTAAACCTGCTAATTATACTGATTAATTGCTGTAATTTTATTGAATAAAATATTTTAAAACTTAATCATTTGTATTTTCAAATTCTTTAGACATCTAACCCCTTATTTTCATATTTAGATATGAATATAAGGGGTTATAAAATTTTCTACAAACATTAAAGACGTTATTTATTGTATTTTGTGTTGGTATTGCCATGTAATCATGTGTAACGTGACTCACATAAATAGTCAACGCCTCCCTTGAATACACTTTCTAATCAGTGCCATCTATGAGTCCCTGTGCATCAGACCTCACTGTCTTGCAGCCTGATTTTTGTCGGACAATTCTATGCGTGTTCATCCAATAAGGGTTTTACTGAGGTGTTAAAATAATTAAAATATTTACTTTTAATAAAAATTGGAAACTTTTTCCTTGTATTTTTGTATCACAACAAACATTATACCCTAACTTATACTGTAAGTTACATTATTAATTTGACATTAACAATTTTCAAAATTTTTGCATAAATATTTAAATAATTATAAAAATTTTAAAGTAGTTAATATTATTTTATTATAATAATTTAATTATATTTAAATAAAAGTGACAATTTTGTAATAACAGTAGTTGTAATGTTTTAAACAAGTAAAAAACAATTTACATAAAAAACTGTATTATTAAATCATATAACAATTTTATAAAAATAAAATTGTTAGTTTATTTAATATTGGGTTATATTCTAAGACTTAGAATCTAAGTGAATTACTTAAACAAGGTGAAAAAATTTTAAACAATTTTATTATAATCATTTTTCATTTTACATCTTTGTTTAATTTAATTAATTTCCTAAAACAATTCCGATTAACAAATACATTATAATATGTTGACAAAATAAAACAGGGCAATTTAATGAAAACATATTTAATCTCATAAATTAACTCGATTGTTTCGATTTATATAAACAAGTTACCCGTTTGTTTATATGGGACTTAACCCCCGCCAACTCCGAGCACATACGAGCGCATGAGAGGGGTGAGGGTGTATATAATTAGTAGCACTTGATTAAACACGTTTAAATAATCATAGTATATGATTGTATGAGATCACAGACTGCGTTAAATTAAAATTCAATTCAATTATAATTAATTAAAATAATAATCCGATTAATTGTGAGCATAAAAACACTGTTTACTATTAAATTCACTACAGTTTGGGGTAAAAATAATAATAATTTAAATAAACAATATCGGTAAACAATTTGAAATAAAATCACTACAATCAACTCCCGATATATGTGTCCGCGCAGACCACTAATCTTCGGACGTGTTGATCATCAGCGGTTTACTCTTGGGATTCTCAAACCGATCCGGAGTGTTCACAATGGACACAAAGTACACGCCAACAAACAATATGGTGAACAGCATGATCAATGTCAACAGGCCCATCCATAGTGGCATGGTCATCCAGGTCTCGCAGTTGAACGACTCGGTAAATATTTTCTTCGATAGGAATGGTTGCAATTGAAATCGGGAAAATGTTAACGCTATACGCTTTTCAACTGCATTTATTGCGCCAAGGTGATTTAAAATAAATAAATAAATTATTACTAAATTTGTTCAACAAGGTAGAGATGGGGTTAGCGCATACCCTTAGCTCCCTTATCGTCTAAACTGGGCGATTGTATCGTCAATTTAGTACAACTAAAACCAAAATTGTATTCAGCGGTAATGTCGCCGGCGGTCAGCATATCATAGACATCGGGAGTGGCCGTATCGGAGCTCTTGTAGGTCACATTAGCGTACTTAATGTTCCAGTAATTGCTATATGGGCAAATTAATTGAAAATATAAATTACAAATTAATTTAATTAACTAAAATAATCAAACAAATAAAATTAAAACATAAACGTAATTAACTATATTAACTACATTAGCCTAAACTAATTAACTAGAACCGAGCTTATTATCGTCCCACCCCCCCCCCACCCTTGACTGCGGACAAGGCTAG